TCGCCGTGGTAAGATGATGTTCGTGGTTACGAGGTAACCAAGATGGTAAGCGGGTTCCAGAAACCCTGTTTGCTAGCACTCTCACTTCATGAGTAGCACGTCATGTTCTTGCGTATAACCTGCTTAAATATCATGTTGTTGTTTGCCATTGTTGCTTTGTTTGTTGTAAGCTTGCAAGTACATTCAAAGTACTCATCTGGCGTGTCATGCCAGTTTCAGGAGAAGCTGTATCGGAGTTGGAGTTGCATCATGCATCGCAGTCTAGGCCGTGTCCACATCAGTGTCCCTGTGAGATGGAGTCCTTCTACGTCGTAGTTCCGCTGCCTAGTAGTTATCGTCGAGGCCCCCAACATGTCTACTAAAGAATGTACATATGTTCAGCCACACCGTGTGTGCCTCTTGGCCTCGTTAACTTATGTATCTTCAGACCCACGTATCCGCAAGAGATCAATAAAGCGGTTATCTTTCTGTATCAAGTTGTTGTGTGTTGCCAGAAGACATGATCTGGGCTGGCAATGCAAGGTAAATCGATTGCTCTGAGTCGGGGTGCCACATCCTCCCACTGCATCTTCCTCATCCTCTCGCAGGTGCGGCCATGGGCACACTTCCCTCGACCACCCCCTCCCCCCCCTCCGCCCACACTCTCCCCCACCCTCCCCTCCCCAACAACGGCAGCGCTAGGTTAATTCAATTAGCGACGGCAAGGAGTTGTGATGCGATGCGAGCCCGGGGGGAGGAGTTGCAAGGTTCTACAACTGGTGGAGCTAGAACCTCAACTGGATGACCATGTCATCGACTCCTCGATGTTGTAACTGCCGGAGCTGAAAGCTTCTTCCGGCGTGCTAAAAAGCTACGACCAGCAACAGCGAAAGCTTCAATCAGGCGACCATGTCGCCCACGCTCACGACCACCGATGTTGCAACTGGCGGAAATGAAAGCTTCTACCGGCGACAGCAAAAGCTGCAATCGAGCAGCCGGGCGGGCCATGCACGGTGATGCAGGGTTGATGCAACCGCCGCCAAGGACGCTACAACGGGCACCACCGAAGATGGAACCAGCAATCGGGGATGCTACGACCCACTCGGCTGCAACTTTTTCTATGTGGGAGGAGGGACGCACAAATGCTGGGACCAACCATCGGAGTGCTACCACGGGCATCATTGGAAGCTGGATCCAACATTTTTTTTTGCTACCACCATCTTTCTTTACTGGAAACAGCTCCAGAATTTTGCTTACACCATGTTCTGTTTTAGCTGGATCCTGTCATTGTTTTTGCTTCCACCATGTTCTACCTTTTGTGTACCACATTCAGAGTTGTGATCGTGGGGGCGTCGCCGAGCTGCC